AAAAGTTCCTTAGTAAAGGTGTAATTTTTCTTCTCAAGTAAATATGGATTAATAATAGAAGAAATGACAATTCTTGATTTTGATAAAAGAAATGAAGAACATAGAATCAATATCAGATATTCAGAAAGTAAAATGAATCAATTTGATCGAAGTCTTGATTGATAATATTATTGATTAACAAAAAGGGAATCAGATTTAAACTAAAAGAGCAATTATCGAAGTCATTATGGATCAAGCATTTATGAAACGTGATCTATAAACGGTGAAATAAAGTCAACAAGAATATTCATATGATGATCAGTTAAAAAGCTTTTAATCTTGAGACATGTACTTTCTCAGTTTATATAAGAATATAAGATAATAGAAGAAGGTTGAGAAAAGCTTAAATATAATATGAAAATATACTTTCTGAAAGGTCATCGTGAAGAACAGTTGAAACAAGTATGTTGGAGCTTAATCGAACAGATGATCAAATATCCATTTATCAAACTGATTATCGATAATATGGATAACTGTGTAAGAACTACTTTGAGCTCATTATTCTGAAACATTATCGATCATGTGTTAATCGAACAAGTTATCACAAGAGCTGTTCTAAAGAAATTAGACTGATACAAATAAAAACCATGATATTAATTGATTAGGAGATCGATATGATATTAATCTATTAGGTGATCGATAAGTTAATTATTGATCAGGTGATCGATTATTGACCAAGACAAATTTAAACTGAGTAAAGCAGAGAGGAGTAGGTTTGAATAACTGATTGATCAATCAAAGAACTTTTGTAAAGCAATGTTAGAACAAGTTATTGATAAGTGGTTGATCGATAAGGTGATTAATAAACCATGAAGCATTCCAAATAGTATGTGAGTTTAAGAGACTTACCCATTATCTGTCAAGTGATTGATAATGTTTAATCGATAAGATAATCAAATAATCCTTTGTTAAAAATGAAAGGATTATCTTCTTTACCCGACAGCTGTTCGATCATTTGAATTATCGATCAGGTGATCGATAATTTCCTGAAAGCACTTATGTTAAACAATTTTACCAATAATCGAACAAGTGATTGAACAACCTATTTATCTAACAGGTCATCTCATACAGTGAATTATCTAATAAGTGATCAATAAAGCTTAACAGTATACAACCTCAGAATATGCAATTAATGATCCAACACATATTCAATTAACCACTAATTGAACACTTAATCAATTAAAGTACTAATTATGTAGAGAAACTTAATTACTTACTTTGTTATCATCAAAATCATAAATATAATAGAAAGGAGATCATTTTGGAAGATAATTGATTGTTATACCTCTTGGAACAATATTTGTAATTATTATGAATTGCTATGAATGATTGTAAATTATGTAAGATTAATGTGTTAATGACTAGAGTGATATGCATGTGATTATATCATCAAGAAATCATGTGCTGGCATGAATTACGTGATTGGAATTGTCATATGGAATGAAAAGAGAAGAATAACAAGAATAACATAAAAAGGAAATGAAAGTTAACTTTTTAAAGGTAAAGTTTGACCATACAAACTTCTATGTAAATGGCTGAGAATTTGGTTGAAATTTGGAAGGCTTGTAGATTATGTTTTTAGCTTTAAAACAAGTGATATTTCATTAAATTTGGAGTTTTGTACAAAAAGTTATACCCTTTCAAAGTTAGGCATAAATTCTGAAAAGTTCAAAAATGACCATTTGAACAATACCATTTTGCATGAATTCTAGGATTAATTGGTGAAGTTTGGATACCAATGAGTATTTTTCACTTGAAGATTATGTTAAGATATTTAAATAAAATTTGGAACCATCTCATTTTGACTTTTCTAGAATTAGTTATAATTTTTCAAAGTTTGGTCTTTATTAGGGTTACAAGAAATAATAACCTGAATTTATGGAATTTTAAGTTTGAATTTTTCTAACTCAAAGCCATAGGAAATAAATCCAAATGGTTCCAATTGAAACAAAATGGGGTCTAAAAGTAAGACGTGACACAAGCTCATTTGGAACTCTAAAGCAATTATCAAATTTCTAGGGACTTGTTCGCAATATTTCATCTCCCGTGGGTCCTTAGTGCAAGTTTCCCATCTTCAAGCTGTTTCACCGTATCTTTTTCTCCCGTTTTTGATTCCCATCAAAAAATGCTATCACCTTCTTTTTTTTAATACTAGTGAGACAAAAAAAAAACATGAGTTTTTTTGGACGAAAAGAAACCAAAAGAATTTCATGATGACGGATGATAAAATCTCTCCTCCTAATTTAAACAAAACAAATGGATGCTCGCAGATTTCGCAAATTTTGAAATTTAAAATTTCACCGCATTGTTCATTGGGGGAAAAAAAAAATCTGACACTAACATGTGACAAGAGTTTTGTTACCAATTAAAAGAAAGACAGGGAAATTGAGGAATTTTTTGATCCTATAAGCAAAGCTTCACATAGAATTACATAAAAATATAATTAAAATATACATTTATTAACTAGAAGCACACGCGACACCCGAGTAAAATAGAAATTAAAATGAATCAACACACTAATACCACTCATACGCTTAGATGAGGTTTTAGATTCGAATCGCATTAACATATTTGTACGATAAACATGTTTAAATTGTATAAAATTAAGCAACTAAAGTGTGGTTCAACAACCGCCACGTGGAATCCTTCATCGGCTAAAATGGTGCTGCAAGTGGATGGTGCAATATCTTATGTGCATATTAAAGTGGGGAAGCGCATATGGGGATTTTTTTTTATTATAGTGGAAAGATAATCGATAATGTGCAAAGTATTCCTTAAACTAATGTTTGAAAATTCACGTGCCAACTCTCTATAATTTCACCTTATTTTAATTAAGATTTTGTAGTCTTTTTTTATCGGGTCTTTATATCTTTTTAATTATACAGATTAATTGTTATACTCATAATTTATTAATTTGCAAGAAAAGTGACTTTCACTCATAATAAACTTTATTAATTTTGGCATATAAATTTAAAAAACACAACTAAGTTACAAACTATATATACACACAAGAAGATGGCCTTTATGAGCATAATAATGTTTTTTGTTTTTATATTGGTAATAAATAAATAAATTTTATTTTATCATTTTATTTTAGATTTTATTTATTTTGTATTATGACACTTACATGTCATTTAGTCAAAATTTATATAAACTTTAATTAACAAATTATGAGCACATATATGTGGTTTTTTTTTAGTATGCCCTAATACTTGATATAAAAATTACATGTTGTTTAAAAACTATTAGGGCATAATAAAAAAAAACTACAAAAATCTAATTAAAAGTATGGTAAAATTATAATAGCTGAAGGTTTTTTCTTTTAGTTTGTAGATTCAACGGATGCCTTCCCTTCCTGAACACATCCATCCAATCCAAAAGTTTTCTTTCTTTTTTACCAACAAACAGTTGGTTTAGTGGTGTATGGCCCCATTAGATTCTTTTGGGTCTCGAATTTGAGTCCTAAAAGATACATCATTGTTGAGAAGGGGAGCCATGAATAAATGCAATAGGATCTAGAAAAATTGCCGGATTATAAGATTAAAAAAAGCTTTTTTTTTCCCAGATTTTTCAAAAAAAACAGCCAATAACTTATTATAAAAAGACGGCAAAAAAGAATTGTAAGGCAGGATCAAAAAGTCAACAGCGATGCCTAAGTTAGGATAAAAAAAATCCAACACGAATTCCCAGTTAGAATAAAAAAACAACAAAGATTTCAAAGTTGTGATGAAAAAGGGAATCAAATAATTCAAAGTTCAAAAAATAAAAAAATAATAAATGCTCACATTTACTCCTCCGGTCTTATTTATAGGATAGAGAGAGAACATATTTGTTTGTTCTATTTATAGGGTATTAAGAGAAATTTTTTATATGAATATACAATTTTATTCTTCATTTATTATTGTGTTAACTTTGTTTACATGAGATATAATATATATTAAATAAGAATAGAGTTGAAAAGTTGTTTAACTTTAAATGAAAATTATTTAAGGTTTTTCTTGATCTATATAAAACCTTTTAAAATAACTTATAAAACAGAATAGTAATTTATAATTAAATCTCTCTCTCTTCCTTTCCCCTCAATATAATATTTAAGCGTCTCATCTTCTCTCTCTCTTGTTACGCTGTGAGGAGGACGAAGACACAGCATGAGTTCTGAGGAAAACGAAAACAAATTAACCGAAGCCGAAGCTAAAGATGCCGAAGCCAATTTACAAGTCAAACCTCTCTTCATACCATACAAGATGGGAACTTTCAATCTATCTCACAGGTTTCACTTTACATTCTTATGTTCTGTTTCTTTCTTCTTTCTTTTCCAAGATGGGAACCTCCATTTTCTGTCTCCTCTTCTCTGCAAATCTATGTTCTTCGGGTCAAATTTTCTAACCCTTCAAATTTACCGTTTTATAATTATTATTTAGTGTGATGTTAGAATTTAAAAGATAAATGGATATGCTTATAATTGATTGACACAGATTCTATTTTACATTGATACAGAATAGTGTTGGCACCCTTAACAAGAACAAGGTCCTATAACTTCATTCCTCAGCCTCATGCTGCTTTGTATTATTCTCAAAGGACAACCAAGGGTGGATTCTTGATTTGTGAAGCCTCAGGGATTTCTGAAACTGCACAAGGGTAATTAATAATCTTTTTCCTGTCTTAATTCTAAAGATTGTTTGGTTCGCAGAAGAAAATAGAAAAAGGAGAAAGAAGAAAATATATTAGAAAAACGTGATCTTTTAGTCATTAAAAAGCTTATTAATTATGTCTTTGATTCGAATACGAAAATTACTCATTAGTAGTATAATAGTGTGAACAAGTTGCTATTTGGGTTCGGCCCCAGCAATATTCAGTTGCATCAAACCCAACTAGATCCATTCTTCTTTTATCGAAAGAAATTAGTGTAAGCTCATTCATCTTTCTCATTGCATCGATTTTTGCATATTATCCGTCTTTCTTTCTTCCTTTTTTTTTTTTTTTTTGCCAACTTGATATTATCTGTCACAGAAATACTTTCTTTTTTCATGTTTTAAAATACTTGTTAATTCAGATTCTAAGAATGCATTAAATTTTTTATTTAAATTCCTGTTTTGCCATTGTTAATTTCAGATTCCAAGAATGCATTAAATTAGGAATATTATTTATTTAAAGAAGCCTAAGGGCATTTTGAAATTTAGTTTAAAAAGGGAATTTTGAAAAAGTAATAGATTAATTTTATAATGATTTCCTTTCTATAAAAATTTGTTTCTGTGACAGCTAATATGAAACGGAGAGGAAGATTTACTAGGATATCAGTCTATATTTTTTTGGTGGGGAAATCATACTTCCTTTTTATTGGACCCACACCAATTCATTATATTGATGAATGATAAATAGTGAAAAAAGATATCCCTGGGAAGCTTCCACCCCCGGGTAGGGGTGGAAACAGGCCAGGCCAGGCTTTACGCTTAACAGGCCAGGCCTGTATTGAAGCCTGTTGGCCTGAGCCTGGCCTGTGGCCTGTGACAGGCCTTATATTTAGCCTAAGCTTGGTCTGTGTAAAAGCCTGGCCTGACCTGAAGCCTGTTAAGAAGCCTGTATTTTTTTAAAAATATTTTAAACATATTTAAATCAACTCAACATTATAATAACTCAATCCAAATTATATAAAATACAAACATAAAATTATCTAAAATATTTAAGTGAAAAATATTTAATATTCAAATGGTAGTATATTATTTTGTTGTTCATGTTTCAAATTATATTATTTAAGTGAAAAATATTTAATAACTTGAGGAGAAGATGTAGTTAAAATGGTCACAATACAAGGGATAAACAGAAATCAAATTCATAGAGGGGTTATTTCTATTGTCAATTGTTGGTGATGTACGTTAGAAAAACTAAGTAGTTTTGTATAGGTAAATAAAAGTCAAAAATGACAAACACAAAATCATCATCGGGCAGTAGGATTTAAATGAATAACAAAGTGCATATTATAGAAATCATCATCCAAGGTATATTGAAGAGTAATCCAAACATGGTCTTATTCAGGATAAAAGTGTGGTATTAGGCATATTACAATATTAATCAAAACATGGTATTATTTTAAAAAAGTTAATTATAAATTTATAATTATAATATTTTAAAAAAAATATAACAGGCCCAGGCCGCCTAACAGGCTTAACAGGCTTATTAAAGAGCCTGGGCCTGGCCTTTTAAGAGAAACAGGCCTTTAAAAAGGCCTGAGCCTGTTTTAATTTGGAAATAGACTAGGCCAAGCCAGGCCAGGCCAGGCCACAGGCCCCTGACAGGCCGCCTGGCCTATTTCCACCCCTACCCCCAGGGTATCAGGTACAACGAACGAAAACAACTATCTTAAGACCATAGGGGGGGACTTCTCAAGTTGAGCCTCAGCCTCTTCCCCCTGAATGTGCATGATAAATGATATTCCTGGGAAACATTAATTGGCTCTTGGTTAACGTCTTCTGTGTGGTTTATTTGCTTACATTTTATATTGTTTTATATTATGATACTGGTTTTTTGTTTAGCATTATATATTCCTTCCTCTAATTGTACTTGTTCCACCCTTGAATAGACCTTACTCGTCATTTTCTGTGGTGGAAAAGCAATCAACACACACAATCCTTACTGAAGCCAAATAATCCCTATAATGTGGCCGTAATTAATGGCTGCTCACTCATTTTACTCTTCGTGGAAAAATGTTGTTCAAAAAATCTCTGTTTGATTTCGTTCAACAGGGCCCGCCACATGGTGGAACCAATTAGTGATGAGTGATAGGTACTATGGTGCCGTTTAAATATAGTTTTGGCTGTCCGGATTTAAGATTTTCCACTCATGATTATGAACTGAAAATAGTTAATACAATTTTTGGTCTTTCAAGGTTGTCCCAATTTTGGTTTTATCTCTAAAGTTTCAAACTATAGATTTTGGTCTCTCAAGTTTCTTTTCATTAAAAATATTGGTCTCTATAATTCAATAAAAACCTGAATTATTTTGCCTTCTGAAAGACCAAAACTTATTGTTTGAAATTTAAGGAACCAAAATCAAAAGGAGAGCAAACTTGGAAGACCAAAAATTATATTAACCAAACTGAAAAAGTTATTCTTTGAAAAGGGGACAGTTAAGAAAATTTCAGATTTTTTACTCATTAAAATAGTTTTTTTAAAATATAAAAGTAAAAAAAAAATCATTCTTGAGTGCTCATCGCTACGATGAGATTGCACGGTCCAAATATAGTTTCAATAGTCAAAAATTTAAAATTTAAAATATATAACTGACAGTTAATAATATATATTTAATTCTATCCATATTAAAATATTAAATTATCACAAATATAAAAATAAAATTATATTAAATTTCAATCATTCAAGCAGTCTAGATTTGATCCTTGTCGCTAACCCATCATCCGTCAGTCAAAATTAAATTTAAACGGTTCAGTTGAGTGTCCATTACCCAAAACCGTTTGGCTCTGAGACTTCAAAAGAGATTGTGAAGCCTTCTTAATATCATGTCCCCGTCACACAGAAAAACAAAAATATAGATTTATTTATTTATCTTTTTGTCAACGAGAAACAAAATATTGAATCTGAAAGCATGTTCCTTCTAATAAGTACATATTACGTTTGTTTTGGTGTAACAACTGCAGGTACCCGAACACTCCTGGAATTTGGAAAAGGGAACATGTAGAAGCATGGAAACCAATTGTTGATGCTGTTCATGAGAAAGGAGGCATATTTTTCTGCCAACTCTGGCATGCTGGAAGAGTCTCCAACTACAGTACCTCTCTTTCTCTCACACACACATTTCGGGCAAGAGGACTCTAATACCTCACTCTTTAATGCCCCACAGAAGTCCCAGCCTCTCAAATATTTTTCTTTTCTTTGTCCTGGTTATTATATATTCTACATAAAGTTAGTAACATTTTTACATCTTATTGACATGAAATGATATAATTTTGAAGTTTAATTTTTCTCTGATTTTGTAGAGAAAATTACTCTAAAATAGTGCAATTCTGATTCTGATCTACTTTCGTGAAAAAAAAATAAAAAAAAACTCAAAACTGCACTATTTCGTAGATATCAAAATATCACTGAATTTTATGTAGAATCAAATTATCAATACATAGAAGGGAAAAATATTTAGGAGGTTGAGGCATCACAAGAGATACTAGAGGGTGAGGCATTAAAGGCTCGTTGCCCACAATTTTTATGCTTACAAAAGGAGGATTATATCGATGATGGTTGAAATGATGGACAGATTACCAGCCTAATGGCGAGGCCCCATTATCAAGTACAGACAAGCCAGTAAGCCCTAAAATTCAAGCAGATGGAAGCAGAATTTCAAAACATCCACCACCACGTCGGCTTCGAACAGATGAAATCTCAACGCTTGTAAATGACTTCAGAGCAGCGGCCAAAAACGCTATAGGAGCAGGTTTTGATGGAGTTGAGATACATGCTGCAAATGGTTACTTACTGGACCAATTCCTCAAAGACCAAGTGAATGATCGAGACGACATTTATGGGGGCAGTTTAGAAAACCGTTGCCGTTTCCCTCTTCAGGTAGTTAAAGCCGTTGCTGAAGAAATCGGACCTCACAGGATTGGTATTAGGCTCTCTCCTTTCACAGAATATAATGATTGTATTGACTCTGACCCTCAAGCTCTGGGAATTCACATGGCTAAGTCATTAAACCAATATGGGATTCTGTATTGCCATGTGATTGAGCCGAGAATGGTGTCCCTATTAGAAAGATGCGATGATGAGACTCGCTTCTCTTTGAGACCTATTAGAAACGAGTTTGGAGGTACCTTTATTGTTGCAGGTGGATATAATAGGAATGAAGGGAATGAAGTGATTGCTAATGGAGGTGCTGATTTAGTTGCGTATGGTCGCTTGTTTTTGGCAAACCCAGATTTGCCTTTAAGATTTCAACTTGATGCTCCACTCAATAAGCCTGATAAATCCACCTTCTATACGCAAGACCGCGTGGTGGGCTATACAGATTATCCCTTTCTTCAGCTTTCTAACAGTCAGTAGAATTGGACTGAATTAGTCAGTCTGAAGGAGAACCAGCCAATGGTATACTCCGCAATTTAATTACCAGAAATAGTGGAGAAGTGAACTGGTCAGAACCAGTAAAAACCTGTTAGAACTGGTATTTCTTTTTGTTTTCTTTAATTTTTAAATAACCCAAAACTATGCTGTTTGGTGTTTTTATTTTGTACTTTGCTTGGTTTTCCTTTAGTGTCATATACATTTTATAATTTATTGGTAGTTCTAATTAATCATGAAAGCTCTTGCTAATTTAGTTTGGGCAATTAGTCTGGCATATGCTTGATGATTTTAGTTGTTGTAATAGACGACAGAAAAAATTAATTTGACAGTCGTTGTAATTTTATCAAATTTTAAATCAGGTCCTTACAGTTTTTTCCCCCTTTTTATTGCCTCCTCATGGTTCACTACGTTAAAGGTGTTTATTAACGAAAGAATTGACAACTTTAATGGAGTGAATTGTGAGGATGCAATAAAAAGAAAATAAAAAGAGAGCTATAAGGACCTGATTCAAAATATGATGAAATCATAAAGAATGGTAGATTAATTCTTCTTGGACAATATTTTAGTAATTGGATAAGTATGAGATTATGTAGTTTCAGACCTATATATGCCTGAGACTAATGTGAACAAGTATTACATAACATGCGTGGGTATGTTCGACAATATATTGGACAAGCTAAGTTTGAGATCGTGTAGTTTAACACATATGGATTAGACTTATATTGTTTGGAAATTTTGTTGATATGAAGGATTTAAATTCCAGTACGGACACTTCCTGATTTTGTATAAAAATATATCAAGTCTTTCTAATTTACAAGATTTGCAAATGCAAACTTTTCCATTATTTTTCCTGTAAATAAATAATAATAAAAAGGTAGATGTTTGAAACTAGAGCCCTCTAATTTCAGATTTTAGGAAAAACCATCTTTGAAAAAAGGCACTAATCGTGATTTCAAAAAGGGAAAACTAATCTGTTAGTTCTTGTACTTTCACCCAAATTTGGAAAAGGTCCGTGCAGTTTTTTTTATTTTTATTCACTCCTTATTATGTGGTCTATTAACTGTGCAAGTTCTTCTGTATATGAAACATGGATTTGCCGTTAATGAGGAATCTTGGCCAGCTTACGAAGCACACGTACTAACACGGAAAGGGAAAAATGTAGGACACTAGAGTTTACGATTCAATTTCATTCTTCATTCAACAAGGTATGTACAAGGGAAAAGTGATCCGGCCGATATCATGAAGGCCAAGGATCAAAGAGAATTTATGATAGGATACAACCGGAATAAAATTCAAATCCTAATTTTCACACATCAATAATAACTAACTTAATCTCTGCCTATAATATCTAAGAGAAATATCAACACTCTCCCTCAAGTTGGGCTATAGATGTCAATCATGTCCAACTTGTCAACAAAGTGTTCAAACCTGTCCCTTGGCAGACCATTTGTGAGAACATCAGTTGTTTGCTCTTTGGAGGGAATATATTTCAACTCGATAGTACCATTGTCTATTTTGTCTCTTATGAAGTGTTTGACTATTTCCACATGTTTAGTTCTATCATATTGGATCAGATTATGTGAGATACTAATAGCAGTCTTACTGTTTGAGTACAATTCAATGGCCGGGTAGGTTTAGATTCTTATTCAATTCTTCAAGAAGCCTTTTTAGCCAAATACCTTCACAAATTCCAAGAGCTACAACTCTAAACTTTGCTTCCGCACTGCTTCTCACTACTACACTCTATTTCTTACTTCTCTAAGTCACCAGGTTACCCTAAACATATGTGCAGTACGCCAACGTGGACTTTCCATCTTCCTAGTTACCAATCAAGTCTGCATCTGTGAAGATTTCCATGTCGTGTGTCATATCCTGAAAAATTTAACCCTGATATTCGAAGTTAAAAATTAGGTCAGGGATCAATAGAGAAAGTAGACAAAAGGACGAAACAACTTTTGGTATAAAACTCAGATAGGATCCGAACTGATATTTTCAAAATATCCTGTATAGTCTAGACAAGATATAAATGGGTGTCAGAAAATTGTAAAATTCCCTAAATATAGGAAACATAAAGATTTGAGGCTACAAAATATCTAGGAGGTTCCAGAGGTAAAAAATAAATGAAAATAAATTATTATAGAATTTTCAAGATTTACCAGTATTTTTGACCTGGACAGGGTTTTTAAAGGAAAATTAATTATTTAAGCTACCCAAAAGCCCCAATAAATTGGTGAAAAATAGGGATAAATTATTTGGTATATTTTTATGAATTTTAAAATTATCCCTGGTGTCTAGATGTGAAGAGAAATATTTTTGGGAATTTCAATGATAAAGCTTTAGTAGTAAAACCTTATTTTTGGAGGAATTATGATTTAAGGGGTTAAAGGTGGAAATAAATTCCACAAAAATTCATATGGTCTTTTTACAATATAAGAAGATTTTTCATGATAAAAAATGAATTTTTGGAGACCCAGAATAATTATTAAAAGTTACAAGTGAATAGTAACTGATAAAACATAATTTGACTTGGACTTGATGTTTTATGATTGGGCCACTTCCTTTGCTCCTTCCTAATTAGATTTAGGTTGGATTTGGGCCAAGAAAACATGTAAAATTTGTACAGCCCATGTCTCCTTCTATTAAAGAGTCTAAGCCTAAGTTTAAGCCCATATGCACATAGGACACTTGGCTAGGGCTGAATTTAGAGGCATAAGAAGGGGGACACATGGCCTCTATGTTGGCAAAAATTTAGCCACAAATTCAAGAGGGAAGGTTGGCCAAAACACTATTAGTGGCAGTCTTACCCAAGAAGGGGGTGAATTGGGTGAGTTATAAAATTTAAACATATTGAAAACAGTGATATAAATAAAAAACAGAGAGCGTTGAGTTAGAAAGATTTCACCGCAGAGCGAAGGCATAGAATTTATACTGGCTCGATCTTAACCACTTGACCTACATCCAGTCCTCAAAATACTTGTAAGATTTTCACTATACTCCAAGATTAAACGGGCTCTTGGCGTCTCAGTACAGTAATTGATTTTCTCAATCACTCCCCCTTACTACCTGTAAGGTTACAATCCCTGTCAAGAGTCTACATTCTTGAGTTACTCTCTAAAAGTGAGAAAAGTAGGTGCATCAATCTCTCTCATAGAGTGAATGAATATGAAACATTGAAGCTCAATGAAAAACAGAGTATCGAATGCAACAGTAAATATTTCAGCAGAGTTAGCTCACGTATTAAATGACTCATTCAATGCTCTTCACGCCTTTTATAGTTGGAGAAGTTTAATTAACCATTAGACTGAAGAGCTTCTAGCTGTTGGAAGTTCTGTTGCATGTTTTTCCAATTGTAACGGTATTCGCCATTAATGTTCCTGACACAATAGGCTAAGGGCTACTAAATATCCGTTGAATATCCCTTTAGAACGAAAATTATGAAGATAATTGATTGAATAATAATTGATATTCATATGGCAGTTGGAAATAGAGTCAATCAATCACTAGATGCAGTAAACATGATATGAACATTCTTGATTAAAGTCATGATCGATAACTGGTTGATTGATCAAGTTATCCATTAAACAAAGTGAAAGAATTTGAAACAGATAACTATATCTATCGATCAAGTTATGGATTAACCATTGATCTATCAAGTGATCGATAAATGAAAAGAGTGACCTTTAAAAGATTAAGCAGGAAAAGGTTTAAGATTACCAATGGCTTTGAGTCCCTTTAAAATAGAGAGTTAAGATAAACATGAAGACTGAGAAAAGCTTGAAGAGTAATATTCAACAGATTTTGATAATCACTGTAACTTGTTGTTGTTAATTGAAATGAGTCAATGATCGATCAAGTGATCAAAAACTGTTTGATCGATCATGTGATTGATAAAGCTGAGTGAGAGAGAAACAGATTTTCAAAGAACAATGATCGAGTACTTTATCGATAAATGAATGATAGAAAAACTGATCGATAAAAAGTCAAGAAAAGTATTTTATGATGAAAGCAAAGATTGTATAATGTTTGAGTAGTTTATCGATTAAAGATTGATCGATCAAGTGATCGATAAAATATTATTTGAAAAACATAGTAAAAAATCACGGGATAAAACTTAGTCGATCACGTTATGTGAAAACAGAATATTCAGAAGTTTGAATGATCAATCATTCATTGATAATTAAATGATCGATCAGGTGATCGAAAACATAACTTAAAATAGTAGGTATAGAGAGATAGTGATGATTGATCATTTGATCGATAAAGGTGCAGAGAGATAGTGATGATCAATCATTTGATTGATAAATCACTGATTGATTAAGAAACCAGACAACAACCTTGAACAAAAACAAATCGATAATCCAATGAGTTATTAAGCAATGTTCGATCAAGTTATCAATAAATCTCTGATTGATAAAGTGATCAATAAATGGTGAATGAAATAGAATATAACTTAAGTAGAAGAGCTTTACCATTTATTTCTCTTCTTATCGATAACTTATTTATCAATCATGTAATCGATAAACGCTTACCAAAATTAAAGTGATCAAATGATTGATAATTTTCTGTAGACTTCTATACCAAATAGTGTTAACAATGATCAATTAATTGATCGATCAACACATAAAATTTGAATTATCTATCAATTTATTGATCAAACTTAGTACCAACCTTCAAGTACACAAAGACATTTTATTTGATACTTGATCGATTACCTTTTGATCGATCAGGTGATTGATCAATGTATTAAACCAGATCATACTTGATTTGTTATCATCAAAACTTTAAATCTAACAAGCACTCTATAAATACCCCCTCAAATTGAACATTTTCAACCAAAATTAGAGAGGCCTTGGGTAGGTGCTACCAAACTGAAAACTCAAGCCTAAAAGAGAGCCTTAGCTGTGTATTTGGAGGAGAAAACATGAAGCTTTGATCAAGGATCAATTAAGGTAAGTTTGGGCTTGATTTTGGTTAAGACTTGTTATGGTTAAGAATTCAAGTTGTAATTCAAGATCCTTGTGCTGTCATGTTTTGGCTAAATTGAATATGTGTTAGGAAAGGATAGAAGCTTTAAATATAAGCTTGAGTTAACATGTTTAACTGGTATTTGTATTGATTTTTGGAAGAAAACCAAGTTAGGGTTTTAGGAGGTTACCTCTCAGTCAAGTCAAGTTCTTGGGGTAGGAGTTTGTTTCAATATGTTTTGATGATTCCAATGAGTTCAAATG